ACAAAATGCTAACAGGTTTACAATGTCCCCAGCAAATATACTGTATACAAATCAGAAAAAACCTTCCAGTAAGTGGTCGCTTCTCTATTCAGAGAGTTGTTGCTACTCTCTTCTTCGATCTCCTGTTGAGTTCGTAGGTGTTCAGAATGGTTTGATCCCTATTCAGCTGAATTCCTGAGACCAGACAAAATCTAGGTCTCCTACTCCTCCATCTTCCTCCGAGTTAAGTACCTTTAAAACACAACAGTGCTGAACCTACAATGCAGGCACTACCTGCTGGAGACGTGTAAACAGGCTCCTCTCTGTATCTTCTTAATTGGAATATAAGGCACGCTGCAAAGCTCTGGCCATAGGTCAGGGAGGGCACACTTTTCTGTGGTGTCCAGATACACTGCACAGTCTGGCTGGAAGCACTGATGATCTCCTCTGTTGCAGGGTGGCTTCCGAACAGAATTTGTGCATAGGTTCACCAGATGTGCCTCTTCAGATGCCAAAGTCCACTTTCTCTGTTACTTTTCAGGATTCCACTCTGGGGGGTGCCGGCTTCTCCCAGGATGGAGGGCTTGCCCAGGTGCAGCCAGGTCATGGGGAGGGACCCTCATATGATTTCTAAACGCTTCTTTTTCAGGATAAGTTTCTGAATATATGTGATATTTAATGTTGCCTGAACATGGTGTGCGTAAAAGCCCTTGGCGTTTATCAGCACATGTGTTGAAAGGGGGACTGAGATCCCCAGACAGAAGAGCCCCTCACAATGTCCTTTGTACGGCCTCACTGCACGCACCACACGCACCGGCCGCTAAGCCCCCCAGTGCCGGTCCTGGTCCATGCTGTAGCTCACTCGATGCCATCTGTGGTCCTCCAGCCACCACACCTGAGGCCTCTTATCTGCTTGCCACGCTCGGTGCTGCACGGACTGAGCTCCCCCTTTGCTGGGGCTGCGTGTGTGAGGCGCTGAACACGCACAGGACGGCGCCCCCTGGACGCAGCACCTGAGTCTCTGGAACAGTTTCGTAGCCCACTGAAAAAATCCGGGGAGGAGCCTATTTGGTGAAAACTTTTGTACTGGCTTGGACTTTTATTTATTTATTCAATCAAGAAATATTTATTGGGCCCTAAGAAAACGCATCTCCAGTGCCTGGCCCCGTGTCCGGCTTTGGAATACGGAGTGACACAAGCAGCACCCGTGCACGGGGTGGGGGGGGGCTGTGTCTCTTGCGCCCCGCTCACACACGTGTCCTTCAGCTTTCCTACAGGGCCCGCGAGATCTTCAGCAAGTTCCTGTGCAGCAAAGCCACCACTCCCGTCAACATCGACAGCCAGGCCCAGCTGGCTGATGACATTCTCAGTGCTCTGCACCCCGACATGTTCAAGGAGCAGCAGCTCCAGGTGACTGTGCCTCAGTTTCCCACAGGGACTCCTCGCCAGGGTTCTCTCCTTGTGGGAGAGCGTGCTCGCGAGCCAGCCACCAGACAGAGAGGAGGGGTGCCGACGGGTGTGGTGCGGCCAGAAGGAGCCCCGTGTCACCCACCGGGCTCTCAGGGAGCAGGCTGCAGTGGCCTCTCCTTTGTGTGATGTCACAGATGCGTGGATGTCACGTGCACGTAGGTGCGGAGTTCAATTCTAGGACGTCACTGTGATTAAAAGGGTACGTGGACCTAATATGTTTTAGAGCCCAGGTCCCACTGGCCCCCTTGGAGATGACTTATGTTGCTAAATCGCACGAATAATGTGGGGAAATGGATGGAAGTATTTCCAAGGCGGTTCTCACTTCCTTCAAATCTCTGGTTACTCTGGGTCTCATTCTTACTTAACAAAGTAGAGCTTCTCCGGGACTGCACGTTTCTAGCTGCTTCCGGAGCTAAACCGTGTGGCATGTGCTCTGTAGATCTTCAATCTGATGAAGTTCGACAGCTACACCCGCTTTCTCAAGTCCCAGCTGTACCAGGAGTGCATCCTGGCTGAGGTGGAAGGCTGCTCGCTCCCCGATGCGCTGCAGGTCCCCAGCAGCCCAGCCTCCAAGCACAGCGTCAGCTCGGATCACTACAGCGTGTCCACACCAAAAAAGGTACCTGCGCTCCCGCCGCATCCTCTCAGTGAGGGGAGCCGCCCCGTGAGGAGGGAGAGCAGAGGCTGCTGGGATGCAGCGCACCCCCCCCCCGGGGGGGACAACACAGCGCCCCCGGGATGCCCTGTGCCTGTGGCTGGGGGTGGGGTTTCTGCCGCCCTCGCGCTTTGGGTAAGGTTGAAATCATGTTATGTTAACGTTAACGTTATGTTAACGTCTCCATTGGACGGCAGCTGAGCGGGAAATCGAAATCAGGAAGGTCCCTGAATGAGGAGCTGGGGGATGAGGAGAGCGAGAAGAAGAGGAAAGGAGCGTTCTTCTCTTGGTCAAGGACCAGGAGCACCGGGCAGTCCCAGAAGAAGAAGGAGCACGGTGACCACACAAACGGTTCATGGTGTGCAGATGGGTGGCCGGGAGGTGGCCTGTTTGGGCGCAGATGGGGTGGTGGGGCCGGGCCGGGAGGGCGCATCTCGGGTGCGTAGGGCGCAGTGCTGTGTCCCGGGCATGGCCCTTTGGGGGCGGGCCAGCGAGAGTGAACCAGGGCGGCTTGAGTGCCTTTTGAGAAGGGGGGTGAGGGTGCATGCCAATCCACTCCCCCTCATGTCAGGGCGCCCTGCGGGGGTGGGCCTCACATCCGGTCCTCTCCTGGCCTCTTGTAGGAAACTGGGAGGAGAGGGGCACCTGGGTGGCTCAGTCATTAAGTGTCTGCCTTCGGCTCGGGTTGTGATCTCAGGGTCCTGGGATCGAGCCCCACATCGGGCTCCCTGCTCAGTGCGAAGCCTGCTTCTCCCTCTCCCACTCCCCCTGCTTGTGTCCCCTCTCTGTCAAATAAATAAATAAAATCTTTTAAAAAAAAAAAGGAAACTGGGAGGAGAAGAAAAATACAAGTGTCCTACCTGTGTACCCAGACTGCCTCTTGGTTTCCCAGGTACGCTTTCTTCCAGGTGTGCGTAGGGCTACACGAGCCTTTGTAATTTCTTATTATTGTAAATCTGAAAGGTCACCAGTTCTAGATATTTTCTTCCTTGGTTTCTTTCTTGTGCGTAGCTCCGAAGATGGTGTGGGAGGGACAGGCTCATCCTGGGAGGTGGGTCCGAGGGAATGAGAGCACTTTCTGGATAAGGCAGAGAAACAGCCGCTGACACCAGGCATGAAAAAGGACGAGGTGGACAGGCTTCGGAAGGATTTTCTCCTTGAGGGATTCTCAAGAAAGGGATTGTTTTCCAGGAAATAACCCACAGACTCCAGGCCTGTGGTCCCCAAGTTTGGGGCTTTATGGAGAGAGCACAGACAGGGAGCACCTGCGGGCGAGAGGCAGTGGCCACTCCTGGGACAGGGCCAATGCTGTGCCAGGCGGTCTGGATAGCATTCATCTTATCCCCTCCTCAGAGCAGCCCGCCAACTCTGTCTTCTTGTACCCATGTTACAGATGGCCGTGCTCCTGGGTCATGCTGTGGGTGGTTAATGCAAGTGTTCTTTCTAAAGGCCAGGCAGACAGACTTGCAGAATTCAACCAGTGAGAGACCGCTGTGGGGGTGGGACGAGTTGTTAGATGGAGGCAAGGACCCCTGAGCACCTGGGAGACAGGACAGTGGGCCAGTGGCTCAGAAGGTCAGTGGGACCCGGGGCTGCTGTCTCCTTACTCCTGGGCCTGCAGCTGCCGGCTGTGGCTCAGCGGCATGACTGGGGAGCAGGTCCCGTGTTCTCAAAGGACCTCTTTGGGTCAGTTTTCATGCTCTTTAGCCAAAGATAGCAGTGAGTTCAGGTGGCGGTGGTGAATGGCATGGTTGTTGGCTCACTTGAGGACTTTGTGGGAAGATGTGAGTTGAGCCGTGGGCAGAGGTGTGGTAATCGGCTGGGATGTTTTCATTTGGGCCCAGAAGCCGGTCTAGGGTCCGGCTATGGCCAAGGGCAGAGCAGAGCATGCCATCTAGCTATGCCCAGGGGGTGCGCCTGACTGTCCACGAGGGGAGGTCGTGCCTCGGAAAGGCTTCTCCATGTCCTTTGTCTGCTCAGCCTGAAGGGTGGGGTTGGGAGATGTGACAGTAAGTGGGGAAAAGTAGAGTTGGTGCTGTTTGGTTTTCTGAGTCACTGTGTTTCCCCATCAAGAACCCCTGCATGCCAATGGAGGCCTGGGCCGCCACGAGTCACAGGGCTCTGTGTCCTCCACAGGGAGCTTGGACCTGGTAAGTCACCACCTCCCCGTCCCCAGGGTCACAGCTGATCGGTGAACTCCTTCTTGGTGTTCAGTCATGCAGAGCCCACGCTCACAAAGCCCCACAAATGCATGCGTTGGATGCAGGGAGCAGGGCTTGGGCCGGGGCCCTTGCCAGCCTAGCGCTCCTGGCTGCGTGGGCACCCGTTTGGCAGATGGGGGAGGACTGCTCCTTGAGTACTAAAGATATTTCTGGAATTACTCTGGATGTCTTTTTGCTCTCATTCATTTGCCATGTTTTGAACTCCCACTAAGAGCAAACAGAAGGCTCTGAAGCCAGGTGCTCTGTGTTTGTCTCACAGTTGGAATATCCTACTAACGCAAACCTTCCTGTGTTTTGTGCTTCTGCCAGTGGGGGCCTGGCTGCGGCGGGGGGCTCCACTTCCCCTCACGCCCTACCCACGTGGCCCCAGTCTCCAGTTAGGGGCCTGCTGGCTGTTGTCTGTGGTCTGATACCAGGTTTGGAAACCCTAATTGTTGCCAGCATCCTAGTCACTTGTCATTGTCAAGCAACAATGTAGCATATTATTCCTTCTTCAGTTACACTGTGTATCGGTTAAAGATGGAGGGGTTTACCCACATGTCAGTTCGGTGTGGCTGCCTGCCAAACCACCCCAAAACTCTGGCTTATAACAAAGACCCTTTATTCCTGCGTCTGCATCCGTAGGAAGGGAATAGTTGGGCCTGTTTTATCATCAGCCTACCACCTACAGACTATGTTTTCCGGAATGCAGTTGGGGTGGCAGAGATTTCCAGACTGTCAGGAGGAGATAGTGGTGGGGTAGGTCACACATGGGAAGGACCTGTGCGGGGGGGCTGTCTGCAGCCAGGGGATGCTGTTGTAACTCAGAGACCACAGGAGACATCGCGGAGAGACCCAGAGTTCTGCTGCACAGATGGGGCCCTGGATGCCCTCTTGGTCCGCCCACTGCCCATCAGGAGCCCCCACATCTGAGTGTGGGTCCTGGTGCTGGGACAGAGCACTAAATAGCAATTTCCTGCACTCCTGGCTTAGTCGATGAATAATGCAGACGCCTCTCCCTGCCCACCTTCCCCCCCGCCTCTCCCTGCCCACCTTCCCCCACCCTGTGGGTGCGTCTCACTGCTGAGCACTTGGTGAACCTGGGCCATGTCCTCACCCAGGCAGAGGTGTCGAGCCTCCTCTGGGGGGAAAGGGCACCCGAGGCCTCAGCCTAGCACTGGCGCTGGCAGAGCGGGCCCTCTGCCAGCAGCTAAAGCAGGATCGCGGTCCCTGGCCTCCCCACACTTACCATGCTGAGCACTGAGTAATGTAGGCATGGTCAAGAACAAACCAACCCCACCCCTCACTGCTTTCTTCTGACCTGATGGCTGGTGTCTACGTTGGGGGGGGGTACTTACCCCCTCGGGTACATGTTCCTGCCTCTGAGCCCTTGTCTGAGCTGCCCTAGCCCCTCCCTCAGGTCGATGTGCCGCCCACAGTCTGTGCCTGTCAGAGAGGCCTCCAGTCCTGGGAGCTCTGGCAGGAGGGGCTGCAAAGGCCAGGAGAAGCAGCAGAGGGGCCTCCCCACCTGGGTTGGGCCCCAGGCCCTCCGTGGGTGATCCAGCCTGCCTGGTGGGTCCCCAGTGCCACCGACTGAGAGGCAGGAGGAGTGGGTTCCACAGAATGACTCCATCAGCTTCCAGCTCAGGGAGGCCAAGACGAGAGCCCTGAAAACATGGCAGGGCCCATCTTATTCTGAGCACGAAAGCTCCTTAAATATGGCCCTTGGAAATGGTTCCACAGGAGATTGGAAGATAAGGCTGGAGGTGCAGACAGACTTTCTCTCTTCTCTCCTGTGTTACTGTAGAAGCCCCAACAACTTTGTCGGCTTCTCGTGCCCAGCCCCCGTGTAGATCTGTCGCGGAGTTTCTGTGTGTACGGAGCTGCGTGTGGCTCAGGGATATGCACCGTACAGCCTCCCAAGGCCCGCGCAAGCCCGCCAGAGCCCTTCCCCCAGCACCCGGCGCACCTGCCTGTAACACTTGTCTCCCGGCTTCCCAGCCGGAGGCCTGCAGGACCTCGGTGCCAGAGCGGGACAAGGCTGCCAAACCCTGCTGCATCCAGCTCCCCGATGGGACGTCTTGCGTGGTGGTTGTCAAGCCAGGGCTGTCCATCAAAGATGTCCTGGCTGGACTCTGCGAACGACATGGCATCCACGGGGCTGCCGTCGACCTCTTCCTGGAGGGCGGGGACAAGGTATGGGGCTGCGTGGACCCTTGGGGCCCTGCCCATGGGCGGGGGTGGGGGGAAGGGCGGGTCTGTTGGTCTGGTCAGCTAAACCTGCCCAGTCACCGTAGGCTGGGGCTGGTTGAAGCCCTCAGGCTGATGGCTCTGCCGCTGGAGCCTGGCCCCGCTGCCAGAAGCCCTCAGCATGCAAATGTTTGCTTCTCTGCAGCTCGGCCTCCTCTGGGCAGCTGGTTTTGAAGCCGCAATTTGCTCCGCCCAGCTGTGCATCCCAGGGCGGTCGGGGGGCGTGTCAGGGGCACGGGCTCGCCCCCACTCTGACGTTGGTCTCTGTTCTCTCCTGCATTGCAAATCCTCTGGTGCTGCATCAAGACAGTAGCATCTTGGACTCTCGGGACCTGCGGTTAGAGAAGCATACTTTGTTTCGGTACGAAAAATGCCCCCGGTTTCCTGAGGTCTCCGGGCCACGTGGCTGTCTCTGGGGGCGTCCTTGCGAGCCCTGCATGCTGGGCTGGGAAAGGAAGGCTGGCACCCCCTTCATGAGCGGGGTGGGGGGTGGCAGCAGCTGCACGCAGCCCCCAGGGACCCATAGAGCCAAGGGGTCACTCTCTGTCCTGTGTCACAGCCACCATAGGGCTGCACCCAGGGGTGCACAGGCAGGACAGCAGAGTGCTGGCCATCTGCTGGGGTGGGGGACACTCTTTGCCGGCTGTGACAGCCCACTGGAAACCTTCGAGAAGCTCCCCCCACCCCCCATGGTTTCCTTCTCATGCTGAAAGTGCTCCACAGCTGTAACCTGGCGCTGACCTGGTGACCCCACGATGCCGCCCCATTGTGGTGCCCTCAAGGAGGAATAGCTAAGTATGTATCCGCAGCAACTCTGTTCATGTGTCTCCTCCTCCAGCCAGGCTGGATCTGGTCCCAGGCTGGTCCGTGGGACTCAAGGCCAAGCCCACCAAGCCCGTCACACAAGTGCTACGGCCCGTGGTGGCCAAATATGGCCTGCACCTGAATGAGCTGGTGGCCAGGCTGGTGAGTGACGTGGGGGCCCCATGGCTGTGTTCCCTGTGCGGACAGACCAGCTCACGGGCTGCTGGACCCTGAGGCTCCGTGGATGGGGACGTGTAGAAGCAGAGGCCACGAAGCCCTGGTGGGAGGGCGTCCCCGTGAGTGGAAATCCTCCTTGTTTATTGACAACTGATCATTCCCAGCGGGCTCTGGGTGATCGTGGAGGTGTGGCTTTGGTCCAGGGAAACCAAAAGGCGAAACACACCACTAAAAACCCCTGGAATACCGCTGCCATTTGCAGACGTGCTTGGCTGGCTGCATGCCAAGGGTATGGATATGTCCTGCATGTGAGCGGCTGCTAGACTTCTGCTGGCGGCCTCTGGGGAGGGGGGCGCTCTCCCTGACACCTCCCAAGTCCTGTCTGCACCGCTAGATTCAAAACTCTGTCATTTCCAAGCAGGATCCCTGGGGTAGGTGAGTGGGTGAGAGCGGACCACACTTTGGGGCAAAGACACCAGGTTGAGCCGGGGCAGAGTCCCCTGTCCCTGTGTGCAGAGGGTGTTTGTGGGAGATGTCCTGGGTCAGGGAGCCCGCATACCTGAGACCTGGTCTCTGCTGAAAGCACCATGTGTTTCAAGCACACTATCCTCCTTTGCTGTGAAACCTGGTGATTAATGACACAGTGTTCACCTTGTGTTCCTTCTTCAGAAAAATAAACTTTATCAGAGCTATGATTTCAAGTACTTTTAGGATTTTTTTTTTTGAGTATACATGTGAGTGGGGAGGGAGGGTGAGGGAGAGGGAGAGAGATTCTCCAGCAGACTCCCTGTTGAGCAGGGAGCTCCATGCAGGGCCCGATCCCATGACTTGAGATCACGACCCGAGCCGAAATTAAGAGTCAGACACTTTGATTAAGCCGCACAGGTGCCCAACAAGTATTTTTAGGATTTTATTTTTTATTTATTTTTAATTTTTTATTGTTATGTTAATCACCATACATTACATCATTAGTTTTTGATGCAGTGTTTCATGATTCATTGTTTGTTCATAACACCGAGTGCTCCATGCAGAACATGCCCTCCTCAATACCCATCACCAGGCTAACCCATCCCCCTACCCACCTCCCCTCTAGAACCCTCAGTTTGTTTTTCAGAGTCCATCATCTCTCATGGTTCGTCTCCCCCTCTGACTTACTCCCCTTCATTCTCCCTCTCCTGTTATCTTCTTCTTTTTCCTTTTTCTTAAAATATGTTGCGTTATTGGTTTCAGAAGTACAGATCTGTGATTCAACAGTCTTGCACAATTCACAGCGCTCACAGTAGCACATACCCTCCCCAATGTCTATCACCCAGCCACCCCATCCCTCCCACCACCAACCATTCCAGTAACACTCAGTTTGTTTCCTGACATTAAGAATTCCTCATATCAGTGAGGTCATATGATACATGTCTTTCTCTGATTGACTTATTTCACTCAGCATAACACCCTCCAGTTCCATCCACGTCGTTGCAAATGGCAAGATCTCATTCCTTTTGATGGCTGCATAATATTCCATTGTGTATATATACCACCTCTTCTTTATCCATTCATCTGTCGATGGGCATCTTGGCTCTTTCCACAGTTTGGCTATTGTGGACATTGCTGCTATAAACATCGGGGTGCACGTACCCCTTCGGGTCCCTACATTTGTATCTTTGTGGTAAATACCCAGTAGTGCAATTGCTGGATCGAACGGTAGCTCTAATTTCAACTGTTTGAGGAACCTCCATACTGTTTTCCAGAGCGGTTGCACCAGCTTGCATTCCCACCAACAGTGTAGGAGGGTTCCCCTTTCTCCACATCCCTGCCAACATCTGTCGTTCCCTGACTTGTTAATTTTAGCCATTCTGACGGGGGTGAGGTGGTATCTCATTGAGGTTTTGATTTGGATTTCCCTGATGCCGAGCGATGTTGAGCACTTTTTCATGTGCCTGTTGGTCATTTGGATGTCTTCTTTGGAGAAATGTCTGTTCATGTCTTCTGCCCATTTCTTGATTGGATTATTTGTTCTTTGGGTGTTGAGTTTGATAAGTTCTTTATAGATTTTGGATACTAGCCCTTTATCTGATATGTCATTTGCAAATATTTTCTCCCATTCTGTCGGTTGTCTTTTGGTTTTGTGGACTGTTTTTTTGCTGTGCAAAAGCTTTTTATCTTGATGAAATCCCAATAGTTCATTTTTGCCCTGGCTGCCCGTGCCTTTGGCGATGTTTCTAGGAAGAAGTTCCTGTGGCTGAGGTTGAAGAGGTTGCTACCTCTGTTCTCCTTTAGGATTTTGATGGACTCCTGTCTTATGTTAAGGTCTTTCAACCATTTGGAGTCTATTTTTGTGTGTGGGGTAAGGAAATGGTCCAGTTTCATTCTTCTGCATGTGACTGTCCAATTTTCCCAACACCATTTGTTGAAGAGACTGTCTTTTTTCCATTGGACATTCTTTCCTGCTTTGTCAAAGATGAGTTGACTATAGAGTTGAGGGTCCATTTCTGGGCTCTCGATTCTGTTCCATTGATCGATGTGTCTGTTTTTGTGCCAGTACCATACTGTCTTGATGATGACAGCTTTGGAATAGAGCTGGAAGTCCGGAATTGTGATGCCGCCAGCTTTGCTTTTCTTTTTCAGCATTCCTCTGGCTATTCTGGGTCTCTTCTGGTTCCATACAAATTTTAGGATTATTTGTTCCATTTCTTTGAAAAAAGTGGATGGTATTTTGATGGGGATTGCATTGAATGTGTAGATTGCTCTGGGTAGCATTGACATCTTCACAATGTTGGTTCTCCCAATCCATGAGCATGGAACGTTTTTCCATTTCTTTGTGTCTTCTTCAGTTTCTTTCATGAGTATTTTATAGTTCTCTGAGTACAGATCCTTTGCCTCTTTGGTTAAATTTATTCCTAGATATCTAATGGTTTTGGGTGCAATTGTAAATGGGATCGACTCCTTGATTTGTCTCTCTTCTGTCTTGTTATTGGTGTATAGGAATGCCACTGATTTCTGTACACTGATTTTATAGCCTGCTACTTGACTGAATTCCTGTATGAGTTCTAGCAGTTTTGGGGTGGAGTCTTTTGGGTTTTCCACGTACAGTATCATATCATCTGCAGAGAGTGAGAGTTTGACTTCCTCTTTGCCGATTTGGATGCGTTTCATTTCTTTTTGTTCTCTGATTGCTGTGGCTAGGACTTCTAATACTATGTTGAATAGCAGTGGTGAGAGTGGACATCCCTGCCGCGTTCCTGACCTTAGAGGAAAAGCTGTCAGCCTTTCCCCATTGAGAATGATATTCGCTGCAGGTTTTTCATAGATGGCTTTTATGATATTGAGGTATGTACCCTCTATCCCTATACTCTGAAGAGTTATGATCAAGAAAGGATGCTGTACTTTGTCAAATGCTTTTTCTGCATCTATTGAGAGGATCCTATGATTCTTGTTCTTTCTTTTGTTAATGTATTGTATCACGTTGATTGATTTGTGGATGTTGAACCCGCCTTGCAGCCCAGGGATAAATCCCACTTGGTCGTGGTGAATAATCCTTTTATCGTACTGTTGATTCCTATTGGCTAGTATTTTGGTGAGAATTTTTGCATCCATGTTCATCAAGGATATTGGTCTGTAATTCTCCTTTTTGATGGGGTCTTTGTCTGGTTTTAGGATCAAGGGAATGCTGGCCTCATAAAATGAGTTCGGAAGTTTTCCTTCCATTTCTATTTTTTGGAACAGTTTCAGGATAATAGGTATTAATTCTTCTTTAAATGTCTGATAAAATTCCCCTGGGAAGCCTTCTGGCGCTGGGCTTTTGTTTCTTGGCAGATTTTTGATGACTGCTTCAATTTCCTTAGTGGTTATAGGTCTGTTCAGGTTTTCTATTTCTTTCTGGTTCAATTTTGGTAGTTGATCCATTTCTAGGAGTGCACCCATTTCTTCCAGGTTATCTAATTTGCTGGCATAGAGTTGCTCATAATATGTTCTTATAATTGTTTGTATGTCTTTGGTGTTGGTTGTGATCTCTCCTCTTTCATTCATGATTTTGGGGATTTGGGTCATATCTCTTTTCTTTTTGATCAGTCTGGCCAGGGATTTATCAATCTTGTTAATTCTTTCAAAGAACCAGCTCCTAGTTTCGTTGATCTGTTCTACTGTTCTTTTGGTTTCTAGTTCATTGATTTCTGCTCTGATCTTTATGATTTCTCTTCTCCTGCTGGGTTTAGGCTTCAGTTGCTGTTCTTTCTCCAGCTCCTTTAGGTGTAGGGTTAGTTTGTATATTTGAGACCTTTCTTGTTTCTTGAGAAAGGCTTGTGTTGCTATATACTTTCCTCTCAGGACTGCCTTTGCTGTATCCCAAAGTTTATGGACAGTTGTGTTTTCATTTTCATTGGTTTCCATGAATTTTTTTAATTCTTCTTTAATTTCTTGGTTGACCCATTCATTCTTTAGTAGGATGCTCTTTAGCCTCCATGGATTTGAGTTCTTTCCGACTTTCCTCTTGTGGTTGAGTTCTAGTTTCAAAGCACTGTGGTCTGAAAATATGCAGGGAATGATCCCAATCTTTTGGTACCGGTTGAGACCTGATTTGTGACCTAGGATGTGATCAATTCTGGAGAATGTTCCATGGGCACTAGAGAAGAATATGTATTCCGTTGCTTTGGGATGGAATGTTCTGAATATGTCTGTGAAGTCCATTTGGTCCAGTGTGACATTTAAAGTCTTTATTTCCTTGTTGGTCTTATGCTTAGATGATCTGTCCATTTCAGTGAGGGGGGTGTTAAAGTCCCCCACTATTATTGTATTGTTGTCAATGTGTTTCTTTGCTTTTGTTATTGCCTTATATAATTGGCTGCTCCCATGTTCAGGGCATAGATATTTACAATTGTTAGATCTTCTTGTTGGATAGACCCTTTAGGTAGGATATAGTGTCCTTCCTCATCTCTTATTACAGTCTTTGTTTTAAAATCTAGTTTGTCTGATATAAGGATTGCCACCCCAGCTTT